TTATCTTTTTCTTTGTCGAAAGTTATGTAACCCTCTTAAATCTTTTCACTGCGATGAATCTAGAGACAATATATATGTCTTGAGTGTAATGATCTTTAAATTATTTCCCTATAAGTTAAATTAAAATACCAAGTATACTTATTGAAAAACTACTATTCTACGATATAGCAATTTAAGATGTTGAAAATATTATTTTAAAAAAATAATAAATAAATAAATAAAAGCTACATTAGTAAGTAAAATACTATATCAAATAATATAACAAATTAAAAAATAAATGAAATTAATACATAAATAAATCAACAAATAAAAATATGAACAAAAGAAATAAAATTGTAAAAATGTTAGTATTGTTCTATCTCTGTTCTTACTTATTATATCAATGTTTTTATTCAAATAACAATAAATATGTTGTAAAAAAACTAAGTTAGAATATCACAAAGTTAGGCTTAATGCATATTGGTTTACTATAGATACTTTTACATTTAAAATTAGCTTTAAACTAGTTTGAATCATAAGTATTGAATGCAATCTGCTTATAATAAAATAAATGATAAACTTTTTTTAACTATGCAATGTCTTAGTCAGTGGCGTGGCGTGAAAATTTTCGGTGGGCATCGCAATTATTTAAGCTTGTGGTGAAAAATCATTAACTCTTAAATGCAATGGTTGAATGAAACTTTAAATCTTACCTTCACTTATACATGAACTCCAGCCTTCTTGTTTTTAAAGCGAATTTGTTAGTGATTTTGATGTAGAAGTCTTCCTTCTCCTTTAAAGACATCAACAGTTTCTTTTCAATGGACAACAAAGCCAAATTACTGATCCTGTTTTCTGTTTGTGTGAGCCTCTTGTATGTATGAATCCTTTTAAGGGCGGAAAAACACCTTTCTACTGGTGCTATTGTTGCAGGAATGGACGAAATTAATTTGGAGAGTTTCCTTGAAAATTTCCTTGAAAGAACAGCGTAAATTTTCTTCTCTCAGAAATTTTATTAGTTTTTGTGGGCATTTGTCGTTAAATGCAGAAGTCAGGTGAAATACAACCAGTTCATTTTTCAACCCTGTCATATCAAATGTTTGTGGATATAATTCTCCTAGATTAGGTAAATCAGCGATTCTCAACCTGTGGGGCGCGCCCCCCTTGGGGGGCTCGTGCTCACCAGAGGGGTGGCACGAGAATATTCAAGAGAAAATATTATTGAAAAAAATTGATTAACTGGATGAAAGGAAAGCGCACATATACATTGAAAACAAAATACATTTTGACATATTTAATAACTTATTAAAGTGAAACAACTTATTAAATCAAAATTTAAGGTGGGGAGCCAAGGGTGGCTTGGCCTTAAGGATTTTTTTATAATTTTCTGATTAAGCCTGTGTATCTGAATTTTTTCAGTAACATCCTAGACCTATCTGTAATATATATCACGTATACTTTTAATTGTAAAATAAAATTATAGTACAATTTTAAAATTTTAGCTTCAGCACCTAAGGTTTCGCACAGGTTCCAAAGGTGAGCCATGTTTTGAAATCACTTTTTCACTTACTCAAATTATCTTTAGAAAAAACACTTGGACTGGCAAACTTCTTTTAAAAAGGCACTTTAAGTGTCTTGCTGGTAGGAACAAGTTTCCCGACTTTAAAAAAGATATTTGTTTTCAGAGTGTATAATTTGTTTATTGATTTTACTTTGATAGTTCTTGTGTGAAGTCACTAGCGATTCTTTTGAGTTCACTCATTAGAATTAATCAAGAATTATTGAGTTAATTTTTTCAGAAGGATTAGCCAACAAGTAAGAGTTAAATAACCATACTAGAGTTAACTAACTAAACCCATAACTAATCTAAAAATACCCAAATTTGCAAGAAAATACCAGAATCGACCACAAAAACACTCATAACTACCACAAAAATAAAAAAATACCTGAAAAATGACTTTAAAATGCAAACAAAACAAAAAACTTGAAACAAAATATCGCAAAGTCTACTAAAGTGCAGAGAACGTCAAAATATTATAAAAATTTAAAAAATACCAAAGTTCCACATTTGCTTAAAATGAAATAAATCAATTGGCATTTAATTCAAGCATTCCTTTTTGAGAAATAATATGCTACGTAATGATTTATAATTAACTCTTTTATAGATTTCACGTTTGCTTCCGAAGGTGGCCCGAGTGTCGCGCCACTTGGGAACATACATAAGGTCTCTCTTACCATTTGCACGACATAAAACTATTAATCTGATAGATTAATTCGAATTAAAGTAATGTGGTTAAAGAAAAAGAAATAAACTTTCAGAAAACATATTATAACTCAAAGTTCTAAGAATTTAAACACATTATCTTCTCACCTGGAAATTAGAACGACAACTGCAAATAATTAAATCACTTCATACAATGGAGGCCATTCAAGGAAATATCTTCCAATTCAGCCTCGTGCACCTCAGATACAAGATTTACAATGCAGAAGGGACATCTTATGATTCAAAATAAATTTCATTTTACTTTGGGGGGGGGCTACGTTAGGAGCACTGGCCACCTTTGGCTTACCCACCTTACTTAATCAAACATACTAAATTTTTAAAAAAAATTAATAATTTTTAGTGACTTCCTTGGGTCTGTCCTGCAGAGCAAAGTTTTTTGAGGTGAGGCTTAATATTAGAAATAGCCACTCTCAGTCCTGTTTCTATATTTAGCCGTGATCTATATTTTGTCTTCAAAGAAGCCACAGCAGAAAATCCAGTTTCACAAAGGTAGGATATTGAAAACGGTAATAGAATGCGAAATGCCCTTTGTTTCAGTGCAGAAAAATCCTCCTCCTGCCAAAATTCAAATAGTGATTTATTACTAAATTGCATTTCAGTTTCGCCACTTGTCGTGAAGTCTATGAATTTTTCTTCCTCATCAATTGAGAGTCCTTCGGGAGTCTTATGAAATGGATTCCTAACCCACTCGTAACTTGCTAGCAGTTTGTCATGAGCAGGAAAATACTTTTTAAAATTCTTTGCCAGCATGGCTAAATGATTTTCAATGGTTACAAACGTAACTTTCATATATTCTTCTTCAGCCTTATAAGTTTTAGTACAATTATCCACATTTGCAAACATTGTTAGGTTTTTTTGCTTTAAATTTCTGCCCCACAATTCTAATTTTCTACAAAAAGCATTAACTTCATCACTCGTATCCAACATATGTGTATTTGCTCCTTGGAGTTTAAGATTCAAGTTATTTAATTTCTCGAATATGACGACCAAGTATCTCAATTTCATCACAAATAAACAATAGTGTAAATTCCCGGTTTCCGGTCTGTTATCTTCTAAGAAAATGACGATTTCTTCTCTTAATTCATGAGCACGTTGCAAAAATTTCTCACGTGATAAACATCTTGCCTCACATTTAAATAGTAACTCTGAATGTACTGAACCCATGTCATTACAAAGAGCAGAAAAGATTCTCGATCTCAGGGTTCTCATTTTTATATAATTTGAAATGGTTACAACCGCAGTTAATACAATATTTAAACCAGGACGTATTTCTTTCGAACCCAAAGCTTCTCTGTGGATCATGCAATGTGTCCAGACGCATTGAGGCGATTTTTGTTTTACTAGTGCTTGTATACTTTCGAACCTTCCGGATATTGAACAAGCATATTCCGATACATATTCCAGTGCATATTCCGATGCAATTTTTGCATTCTGTGTTTGCATCATTCATAACATCATTTAAAATAGCAAATAATGCTAGCGCTGTTGTTTTGAGTTCTATTGATTTGCAGAAAAGTAGTTCTACTACTGACATATTATCACAAAATCAAACATAGGCAATGAAATGAGCATCTTTATTAATATCTCTTGCTTCAAAGTTTATTGAAAACATTTTGTCACGCAACATCGAGAAAAGCTGACACTACATTTTCAGTTGTATCACCAATTCGACGAGCAACAGTATCATTTGAAAGAGGTATGGACTGTAATTGTTTTGAAAAATTAACTCCAAACATAGTTTCTACAATCTCAATTGCTGCTGATTTTTACTTTACTTTTGTTTTGATAGTTAGTTAAAAATTATTTAACGATAGAATTAAAAATACTCAATATACATTATTGTTGCATACATTTTACTGCAAGTGGGGGGCGCGATGAAAATTATGATTGAAAACTGGGCCGCGAATACTGAAAGGTTGAGAAACGCTGAGTTAAATGCTTTTCTGGGAAGCCATTTTTTTCTGAAAAATTCTTGAACTGTTTAGGATTTAGTAAATCAAAGAATGCCAGTTTTTTCAGAGAAGAAAACCGGCTGCTTAAATGGCTGAGTAAATTATCTGTTACTTCATAAAACAGCTTTCTGTATGGTTGTTCTAAAGTCAGTGAACTTTCGCTGTTAGCATGAACTTTTCTTTTTCTTGAATTTTCCAGTAATCCTGCCACTGAAACTGTTTTTCCCAAATAACGGGAAATCCAATAATGTCACTTTCATCGCACTTTCCTGCATTCTCCAAGATTTCTTGAAAGTCTCTGATAACATTTAAGCAGTACAATATATTGATACTGTCTGCCTGCAACATTTGAAATAATAAATCTGTTCGGGAAAACAAAGGTGAAAGCAGATTTAATAAAAAGACAGTCTCGAACTTCTTCAAAAACAAGGAGTACCCATTAGCAACACAGCGAGCAGGACCATCCCAGGTATCATCAGAACTTTCATAAATGCTTGTAAAAAAATCAATAATTTATTCACGGTACTGTTCTACCGTATTCACCTGTCTTGAGGTAAAGCACCATCTTGCTGGAGCAAAAGAAGGAATACTTTTTTTTAGCATTCCTGCATTGCAAATGATCGCTTACTAGAATGCGATGAAAATTGTGCAATTGCGCTTAGTGTTGAAAAGAATCTGTTGCGTTATAAAATATCATTCATGCCCTGAGATAAAACCAAGTTTAATACATGAGCATAACAGAGCGTGAATAGAGCTTTTGGGTATATATCTGTTACTTTTTTGTGTCAACCTGACAAATGGCCTGACATTACAGCAGCACCATCGTACGTCTGAGCAACGAATTTATCAGCCAGTTTATATTCACTTACGGTTTTCTGTACGTGCTCGAGAAAACCATTAGATATGCGGTCTGCAATTACGTCGGTAAATCTAACAAACCTCTCTGTAACATTGCTGTCTCCCTTCACAACATATCTCAAAACTGTAGAGAGCTGTGACCTTCTTCTAATATCCGACGCTTCATCTAACATTAAATCTACAAAATCTGCTTTTTCTATTTCTCGTTTAATAGTTTCTATCAGTTCTTCACTAATAATACTAATTAGTTCGTTTTGTATATCATTTAAAGTGACTTTAAAGACTGTGGAATTTTCAAAATGTTCCGCTAAAACTGGATCGTAGAGTTTTACAAGATTTAAAGTTTCAACATAATTTCCTTGATTCAAAGAGGAAGTTTTTTCATTGTGCCCTCGGAAGGGTAATTCGTGTTTGGCAAGAAAACATGTCACATCTATGAGTCGCTTTAAAACTTCATGATTTTTCTTAACTTTTTGGTTACGCAAAATGTTATTAACTTTGAGGGTTTTGTCTATTCCTTCATCTATTCGTTGCTTTCCAAAATTATACAGGTCTACTACACACTGAAGATGTGATTCAGAATTTTCGTGCGTTTTGGTTGATTTGGTTAGTCCATTCAAATTACTGAAATCACTAAAATTCCAAACGTTTTTGGATTTGGAAAATAAAAGACAGGGCCAGCAAAAGGGTTTGGACAAACTTTCACTGCCACAGAGCCAAGTATGAAAATCATAATTAGAAACTGTGAAGTGTCTGGTATACTCTCTGCCTCTTTCTTTTTCTTCAGACGATAAATTTTTTAGTGATGGACAAGGTCTACCATTTTGGACAATATGCAGTTTATCCTCCAATCTTAAAGAACCGAAATGTTTTTTCTGGAGTTCTTGTATAATATCCGATTCAGCCATGTCTGAATCAGTAAAATGGGCATCAATGGGGAAAAAATTTCAGTTCATTCAATGAAAACATTGAATTATCGCATACGAATATTCAAAGACGATGCAAAAACTTACCAAAAAATAATCAAAACTCCATCTCAATTAATAAAAATATCTATGACACAGCATGACGCAAAAATCACTGAGCAACAAACCTGCCAAACAATTGCTGCTTTCAATATATAAACTGCTTTCAATATATTAACTAAACCATCTCAGTTAAAAAGCAGAATATACAATATAATGAAAGAGAAAAATTAATCAAGAAGTCCTGCAAAATAAAAAAACACCCTTTAAAAAATGAGAAATTTTAACTGAATAACATTTCATCACAGCAGGGAAGTACAACGGATAACGGAACAGCAACGCTGTTCTAGTTTAAAATCTAACCCCCTCTCTTGAAGAGTGCGAGAGCATCTTGACTTCTGTCCAACAGAAGCGCAAAAATCAGCGGTGAGTAGCATACTCTTAGTTGGGTAAAAAGATGCGCGAGGTGGGGACGACTGAGGCAGGAAAAAAATGTTATTTGGATGCGCTAAAGTTTGCGAATCGTGCGAGGTTTCTCTTTAGTTTGATCTGGATTTTTTTTGTTTTTTGGAAGAATCATATTTTTTAAATTATATTTAAACTCAAAATACTCCATCTAATTCTCTGAAATATTGCTTGGTCATCGCCGCATCGTGCAATGACCGGACGCCACGCCACTGGTCTCAGTGAAGATACTGGGTGATCTTTTTTTCGCCTCTTCAGTATTATTATAATAGTTTACGTACCTTTTAATGAAATACTCTTTTTGAAAATCTGCGAAAAAAATTACCAAAATACTACAAAAAAAAAATTATTTTTTACTTTTTAAGAAAACGAAAATATTTTATGAATAATTTGACACATAGCAAACAAATACGTAATAATTATATTTCAATGTTTTTTTCTGTCCTCATAATATTCTTTTTCAGGATAACATTACGTAACTACTTCAAGAAAACAAATTAAATAAAAATTATCGAAAAATGAAAATACCTTATAAATATTACTAAATTGAATCAAAATATTGATTACACTTCGGAGCGCTATTTTTTTTGTTTTCTGTTGCATGTGATTTTTTAACTAACCTTAGATACATTAATATTACTGATCACTGCAATCGGTTTCTCTCTCTTTAGGCTGCAGTTTCTTTTTAAATTACATTTTTAGTCTATTTTTTGTACAAGTTTAGAAGCATTATATATTACATCGGGTAACGTTTCGACAAAGCTTTAGGGGAACATCATCAAGAATAGAAACCCATGTCCGAAAAATGTCGTCATACGCCACTAGGAGCGCTTTCCTAGACATGGGTCTCTATTCCATTTTAATTCGGATAATATTCTCGAATTTCCCTAGAAGTTCGTCGCAACTTTTACGCGATTCCCTGTTTTACGCAACTTTTACGCTTTTAAATCTGTACATTTCGACAAAAAAATAGTCTTAAAATGCTATTAAAAAAATTGTAGCTTTAAAAGCAAAACTAATTTCAGATTTGCGACCCTCCCCCACACCCGAATTAGAAAACGTAAAGTATTTGCCACAATTTTTACTGAAACCGCTATTCAAAGTATCACTTTATAATTTTGAATGAGAAGAGAGTTACTTTTTTAGTTATGATTTGGGGGTAATTTCTAAAATTTTTAGTTTCCAAAGCAAGTTTGGAAATTTGGAGTTACGAGCTTATGTAGATTTTGAATATTTTTAACTCATTCTCTAAACTGTAAAATAAGCTGCATATTTAAAAATATTGAGCAATCGCAAATTTGTTCGGTAAAAACAAATATTTCATAATGATGTAATTTAACGATATTCATCTTAACTAATATTTGAAAGTGATTAAAGAAATAATAATTTCCATACATACACAAATACATACACAGATTGTTAAAATAAAATGAGATGGTAAATCAAACATACGCGTCGTAGAATAAGTATTAAGTTAAATTTGAACTAGGTATAACAGAGCAGGAGCATATATGATTTGTACATTCAAAATTTATTTAAAACAGTTTATAGAGACTTGCAAATTAAAATATAAATATCTTTATCACTAAACGATTAAAATGCATACACATTTTCAACGGTAAACTTTAGTTTCTGCAGACGAAAGCATCATTGGAGATAGACACAAACAATATCGTTATTGATTGTAAACAATTACAGACGAAATCAATTCGCGCCAACATTGGACTCTTTGGAAGAGAAACTATTTAACATATGGCGTAAAGGCGAGTGGTTGCGATGTAAAATGTTCGCATTTTTGGTGTTTAGAGCTTTTATACCCCCCCTCTAAATTGTATATTAAAGCTCAATTTAGTGTTAAGTTAAAAAAATAATTGTTCCTTTGTACAACTTTTAGAGTTGTTCAACGGAGGTGGTCATTGGTTCGAATCCTGCGGTAGATAACGAACATTTCGCCCTCTACTTCACCTTTGCGATGAGTATATGCTGTTTCAATTCTGAAGGCTTTAAAATCCGACTATTATTTGCTTCGGAGCTATTTTGACACATTTTTGCTTAATTTTGAGCAAACCTTTATTATAGTGTATAAGTGATTTTAACAGCTAAGAGTCAAATTTTTAATGCTACAAATGACTAAAGTTTTTAACAAATTTTAATAAGTTTTATAACAGTATATACTCGTCACTGTATATGCTGTTATAAAACTTATTAAAATTTGTTTTAATAAGTTTTTTCAGAAACAGTATTTTCAGAACCAACGATATTAAATTGAAGAATTTAGATATATTTATTGTTTACTAAGTAAATCAAGGTCATTAATAATAATAGATCAAAGAATAAAGATATTTCTAAGATATTTTAAATTTATTTCCACGAGCACAAATCCTTAATTTTTTTTAGGAAATCTGCAATAACATAAAAACAAAATTCAAGGTTCCAATTTTTGTCTAGAAATTTCATTTTACAAAAATATTAAGCAAAACTGTTCATTTAATATAGTCTACTGATTATTTTCAAAAAGAAATTGATAATAGGAGAGGAATATAAATATTCATAATTTATCTTAAATAGAGTGAAAATTACATAAAGATTTTTATACAGTTATTCATTTTTCTATACTTGTAATTTTTATTCTTAATAAAGGTAATCAATTACAAAAGCATTCAGTTGCTGAAAGAAAACTTGGATAATGTAAATTAACCTCAAACTCCTCTTTTGTGAAGCTCCCCTGTACCTTTTTAAGAAAGCAGGAATAAGGAATAAAATAAGTAGACCATGCTGTGTTTGTACGTGAGTATAGAGAGGGGTTCGAAACAGCCAAGCATGCATTTCATCATTAATAACTTCTCATGTAATAACTCGATTAAGGCAAAGGAAACAATCTAATTTGCATTTAAAGAGCAGAACTCTACTTATGAATCTAATTACTAAGATTACAACCGGTAAAAGACATTCTCTTTAATTCCGGCATTTTATTATCAACGCAAAGTATATTTGAAGACGAATGAATTTCCGGTTTAAAATTGCTTGGAGAAATGTAAGATTTATTAAGCAAAAGTTGCGTAGAGAATAATTATTCGTTACAAAATTTTAATTTAAACTCAGTTACGTTTTTAATTTTAATTTTCGATTGTAAATATAGAAGAAATGTATTGTTTTTTTAAAAAATTCTTAATAAATGTTCGCAAATTTCGAGGGAAAAGAAAAATACTCATTATATTTTCGGTTAAATTAAGAAAATCACTTGAAATTTTCACATAGAATAAGCTAAAACTGTTGTGAAATTAAGAATAAACAAAAGTTTAAAAGAATTAGCTAAAATATTTAAATATAAAAGAGTAATTGTCACATTAAACAAGCGTAATTGAGACAATAGGCATAAGGGGGACATTAGAATAGCTGCAATGCCACAGAAGAAGAAGAAAGCTTTAAAGAATTAAAAGTATTAGGGTTAGGTCATTTTCAAATATTTTTATTGATTAATACTAACTCAAGTTGTAAACTTTCTTTGAAATGCAGGCTAAAAAATTACAGTCTTACTCAATTGAAGATTGAAAAAAAAATTATATCCGCTACTTTTCATCAGCTGTTTATTGTTGATAAAAAAACTAAATAATATCAATTGAATTTATTATCCTACATAATGAACTGAATTTTCTCAATGCAAAAGATACAGTGATAATCACCAAGATAATTACTAGAAGATTAAATGCATAATTTTACCTTATTTTATATAGATAGGTTTAAATTCTCTAAACATAATTTTCCCCATGTTTAATTATCACAGAAAATAAGATACAGTTTCTAACTCTTGAGACTTTGTGATTTTCATCTTTATAATAGTGAGAAGTTAAGTGCACTTTATTCCATTTTAAATTTAGCTAAATTTAAATTCTCTAAATATGTTTTCCCACATTTGACACAGGAGTAGAAGCTTATTTATTTGTGATTTGGAGAGAGTTAAATAAGGGTATGGAATTAACAATAAATTGTCTTCTATAAGGAAATGATGTTCATTTCAAACATTAAACTGTAATAGAACAACTTTCCTAGATAATATAGATAAACACTCCTTTTAATATTTTACATTGTTTTCACTATTTGTTTATTTAAAATATTTTTCTTTATAACATTTTAGCACAATGCTAGGAAATGTCAATAAAGAAATCAAATCAATAAATTATTAATTCTCAGGTAACAGTTCCCAAATTTGTGATTTAGTACAATATGAGTGGACCTTTGAATTTTAAATTAATAAAATTTTTATTTTTTTTCAAATTAGACTAATAATAAGATTTTTTTTATTCTATTTTAGAGTAAAATTTAACAGGTGATTTTGAAAGTTTTTAAACTCGTTTTTCACACTTGGTTCAATTTTTTTTTGTTAAATTAATTGTTATAATCAACTTTTTAGTACTTCACCTGTGCATATTTTGCAATGTTGCAATTCTCATTCAAAAATCAGTCTATCTTTCTAATTA